AAACAATAAGCAGCATTATCCTCCCACAGGACATTCAGTTTTGGCAGTTTATTGTAAGTCAAAATATTAACAGTGGACTTCTCAGTAACTTCACACATCTAGAATAAATTCCTGTCACAATATACAACAACTAATTCATTTTTCAAAAAAGCGCCACCTTTATTTTTGAAAAAAAAAGACCCTGCGCTTCTGTCCAGTGATTTTTGATGGGCTAAGATGATGCCAACATTGTATCTTTGTAGCAAGTCATAGGGTGAGAGGCTGCTGCAGGGGGCTGATCTGTGTCAAATATTTGTGAACCAGGGGCGGACTGACCATTCGATCACTCGGGCACTGCCCGAGGGCCCGGGGTCAGTGGGGGGCCCCATGAGATGCCCGGGGTACCTTTCATTGGCTTTTTCATAGGCTTTTTTGGGTGTGGGCGAGGACACAGGGGCCCCATGATCCCCTATTGCCCGGGGGCCCCATGAGTTGTCAGTCCGCCCCTGTTGTGAACACATTTGTGAACATTGATGATGACCCTGAATGATGCTTTAACAAAGATGTGCCGTACTTCTGGAGAGAAAAGCAGATATAGACACTTTCAGGGGGAGTGCTGTGATCTCTGCGAGAGGAAGTGTTACCTCCTCACAATAAATAGTATGATTAAAGTGTTCCTGAACCCACAGCAGTACAATCAGTCTGTATTTGCAGTAAAGCGTGCTTGTTATACTCAGTGTGGAACCTAAGGGGTTAATCCTCTGCATTGTGTAAAAAGGATGTTTGATCCTGTCTTCTCTGATCTTCTCCTACTGTCCCCAATCCATTTGCTGATAGTACAGAGCTCTAGGAGTCACTCTGCACATGCTCAATTTGGTGTGTGTCGCTAGACAGTTTTTTTTTAGTCTTAGGAGCAGGGGCGGACTGACAACTCATGGGGCCCCCGGGCAATAGGGGATCATGGGGCCCCTGTGTCCTTGCCCAAACTCAAATAAGCCTATGAAAAAGGTACCAGGGGCATCTCATGGGGCCCCCTACTGACCCCGGGCCTCAGGCAGTGCCCGAGTTTCCAAATGGTCAGTCCGCCCCTGCTTGGGAGGGTGCATGTAATCAGCACAGGGCCACTCAGTGTTGTCTAGACAGAGGGTCAGTGGTTCTGCAGCCTCATAGGGGAGAATGAAAACTCCTCCTACAAGCTTTAACCAGCACTTTGCTGGGCACTGATAGAAGTCACAAGACTGTTCTAACTGCTGATGAGAAAAGGTATTTAGCAGTTTATATTTACTAAAATAATTGCATTTTCATCATGTTCTGTGTACTGTGGGAGACCAAATAGTGATTGCAGGGTCCGGGCAGAGCGGATATAGTGGATGGGGGTTTGGGGAGACCATATATAGTGAATGCAGGGTCCGGGGAGAGCGGATATAGTGAATGCAGGGTCCGGGGAGACCAAATATAGTGAATGCAGGGTCCGGGGAGAGCGGATATAGTGAATGCAGGGTCCGGGGACACCAGATATAGTGTGAATACAGGGTCCGGGGGAGAGCAGATATAGTGAATGCAGGGTCCGGGGAGAGCAGATATAGTGAATGCAGGGTCCGGGGAGAGCAGATATAGTGAATGCAGGGTCTGGGGAGAGAGCAGATATAGTGAATGCAGGGTCCGGGGAGAGCGGATATAGTGAATGCAGGGTCCGGGAAGACCAGATATAGTGAATGCAGGGTCCGGGAAGACCAGATATAGTGAATGCAGGGTCCAGGGAGAGCAGATATACTGAATGCAGGGTCCGGGGAGAGCAGATATACTGAATGCAGGGTTCGGGGAGACCAGATATAGTGAATGCAGGGTCCGGGGAGACCAGATATAGTGAATGCAGGGTATAGTGAAATGCAGGGTCCGGGGAGACCAGATATAGTGAATGCAGGGTCCAGGGAGACCAGATATACTGAATGCAGGGTCCAGGGAGACCAAATATAGTGAATGCAGGGTCCGGGGAGACCAGATATAGTGACTGAAGGTCCGGGGAGACCGGATATAGTGAATGCAGGGTCTGGGGGAGACCAGATATAGTGAATGCAGGGTCCGGGGAGAGCAGATATAGTGAATGCAGGGTCCGGGAAGACCAGATATAGTGAATGCAGAGTCTGGGGAGACCAGATATAGTGAATGCAGGGTCCGGGGAAAGCAGCTTTAGTGAATGCAGGGTTCGGGGAGACTAGATATAGTGAATGTAGGGTCCTGGGGGACCAGATATAGTGAATGCAGGGTCCGGGGAGACCAAATATAGTGAATGCGGCAGGATCCAGGGAGACCAAATATAGTGAATACAGGGTCCTGGGAGACCAGATATAGTGAATGCAGGGTATGGGGAGACCAGATATAGTGAATGCAGGGTCCGGGGAGAGCAGATATAGTGAATGCAGGTTCCGGGGAGACCGGATATAGTGAATGCAGGGTCCAGGGGGAGACCAGATACAGTGAATGCAGGGTCAGGGGATATAGTTGAGGGGAGAGCGGATATAGTGAATGCAGGGTCCGGGGAGCAGATATAGTGAATGCAGGGCCTGGGGAGAGACCGGATATAATGAATGCAGGGTCCAGGGAGACCGGATATAGTGAATGCAGGGTCCGGGGAGACCGGATATCATGAATGCAGGGTCCGGGGAGACCGGATATAATGAATGCAGGGGTCCGGGGAGACCGGATATAGTGAATGCAGGGTCGGGGAGACCGGATATAGTGAATGCAGGGGTCCGGGGCGAGCAGATATAGTGAATGCAGGGTCCGGGAGACCAGAATAGTGAATGCAGGGTCCAGGGAGACCAGATATAGTGAATGCAGGGTCCGGGGAGACCAGATATAGTGAATGCAGGGACCGGGGAGAGCGGATATAGCGAATGCAGGGACCGGGGGAGAGTGGATATAGTGAATGCAGGGCCCGGGGAGACCAGATATAGTGAATGCAGGGTCCGGGGAGACCGGATATAGTGAATGCAGGGTCCGGGGAGAGCGGATATAGTGAATGCAGGGTCCGGGAAGACCAGATATAGTGAATGCAGGGTCCGGGAAGACCAGATATAGTGAATGCAGGGTCCAGGGAGAGCAGATATACTGAATGCAGGGTCCGGGGAGAGCAGATATACTGAATGCAGGGTTCGGGGAGACCAGATATAGTGAATGCAGGGTCCGGGGAGACCAGATATAGTGAATGCAGGGTCCGGGGAGACCAGATATAGTGAATGCAGGGTCCAGGGAGACCAGATATACTGAATGCAGGGTCCAGGGAGACCAAATATAGTGAATGCAGGGTCCGGGGAGACCAGATATAGTGACTGAAGGTCCGGGGAGACCGGATATAGTGAATGCAGGGTCTGGGGAGACCAGATATAGTGAATGCAGGGTCCGGGGAGAGCAGATATAGTGAATGCAGGGTCCGGGAAGACCAGATATAGTGAATGCAGAGTCTGGGGAGACCAGATATAGTGAATGCAGGGTCCGGGGAAAGCAGCTTTAGTGAATGCAGGGTTCGGGGAGACTAGATATAGTGAATGTAGGGTCCTGGGGGACCAGATATAGTGAATGCAGGGTCCGGGGAGACCAAATATAGTGAATGCAGGATCCAGGGAGACCAAATATAGTGAATACAGGGTCCTGGGAGACCAGATATAGTGAATGCAGGGTATGCAGGGGGAGACCAGATATAGTGAATGCAGGGTCCGGGGAGAGCAGATATAGTGAATGCAGGTTCCGGGGAGACCGGATATAGTGAATGCAGGGTCCAGGGAGACCAGATACAGTGAATGCAGGGTCTGGGAGAGCGGATATAGTGAATGCAGGGTCCGGGGAGCAGATATAGTGAATGCAGGGCCTGGGGAGACCGGATATAATGAATGCAGGGTCCAGGGAGACCGGATATAGTGAATGCAGGGTCCGGGGAGACCGGATATAATGAATGCAGGGTCCGGGGAGACCGGATATAATGAAATGCAGGGTCCGGGGGGGAGACCGGATATAGTGAATGCAGGGTCGGGGGAGACCGGATATAGTGAATGCAGGGTCCGGGGAGACCCAGATATAGTGAATGCAGGGACCGGGGAGAGCGGATATAGCGAATGCAGGGACCGGGGAGAGTGGATATAGTGAATGCAGGGCCCGGGAGACCAGATATAGTGAATGCAGGGTCCGGGGAGACCGGATATAGTGAATGCAGGGTCCTGGGAGACCAGATATAGTGAATGCAGGGTCAGAGGAGACCAGATATAGTGAATGCAGGGTCTGGGGAGATCAGATATAGTGAATGCAGGGTCCCAGGAGAGCGGATATAGTGACTGCGGGGTCCGGGGGGAGCGGATATAGTGAATGCAGGGTCCGGGGAGACCAGATATAGTGAATGCAGGGTCCGGGGAGACCGGATATAGTGAATGCAGGGTCTGGGGAGACCAGATATAGTGAATGCAGGGTCTGGGGAGATCAGATATAGTGAATGCAGGGTCTGGGGAGACCAGATATAGTGAATGCAGGGTCTGGGGAGACCAGATATAGTGAATGCAGGGTCCGGGGTTTAGTAACACTTTAAACATAAAATAAATATCTTTTGGAAGGATTTAATAGTGGTATAGTGATGGGTGATACTTTTTAACCCCTTAACGCCGGTGCCTCCCTGCCCTTTAAGGTGATTCTGATACCAGGATGTGGGCGGGGTTTATGGTTGGCTGTCACAGCAGTCACATGGTTGAAAAGCTCCCAATCACCAGAAGCGATCAGAAGCTTTTCGTTAGGCACTGGTAACTGTGCCGGGCGCAGGCAGGGCGCACACCCTCGGCACAGGTTTGCTCACATTTTGGTGTGTACCCTCAATGCAAAGTCATGACTTCTGTTGAGACATCCCATAGACGTTCGTTCATTTTCAGCTGTCAGTTTTCAACCCAATAGGCCGAAATTGGATCTAATAGGAGCAATAAAATAATAAACTAAAAACACAGGATTTCAGTGGGACCGTTCCTTAGTTTGTGGCACGTGGCTCACCTGGTCTCCTCTCCCTCCAGCAGTTTGCGGTAGGTGGCGATTTCGATGTCCAGAGCCAGCTTGGTGTTCATCAGGTCCTGGTACTCTCGCACCTTGCGGGTCATGTCCTGCTTCGCCCTCCTGAGAGCCTCTTCCAGGTCCTGAGCGTGGGACTTGGCGTTCTGGATGGCCTGCTCGCCATTGTCCTCGGCCAGGCTGATGGAGTGCTCTAGATTTGCACGCTAGAAGGAGAAGATCATGACAAGATCCCTTGATGTGGTTTAGAAGAGTAGGCCTGGTTCACATTGGTGGGGGGGGGGTAACAACTCTGCCCTGTGTTTACCTGCATGGGGATGCACATGTGTTCCATGCATCCCAGTGCAGGCCATCCCATTCATGTCTACTGGAACAAAGCGGCTGTCACCCAGGAACGTTCGGGGCCGTGCACCCGCACACATGTCATACTAGGGACAGCGGCTCTGTCCGTGCAATTACTGTATCCCAAGAGACGGCTATAGGACTGCATGGAACCCCTGTGCATCCCTGCGCCAGTAAAAACACGACCCTGCACGGGACATGGATGTAATCACCCCACCTGAAAAAGTCTGCAAATCTTATATTATGCCAAGTTACTAACATTCAGTCAAACTGCAGCCTTGGGGCTGGATCTTGGGACACTTTTCCTCCCAGTGACACAAGGCACCGTTCTTCCCACTGATACCAATGATGGGGCACTATTCCTCCCACTGACACCAATGATGGGGCACAATTCCTTCCACTGACTCCACTGGGGACACCAATGATGGGGCACTATTCCTCCACTGATACCAATGATGGGGCACTATTCCTCCCACTGATACCAATGATGGGGCACTAGTCCTCCTATTGATACCAATGATGGGGCACTATTCCTCCCACTGATACCAATGATGGGGCACTATTCCTCCCACTGACACCAATGATGGGGCACTATTCCTCCCACTGATACCAATGATGGGGCACTATTCCTCCCACTGATACCAATGATGGGGCACTATTCTTCCCACTGACACCAATGATGGGGCACTATTCCTCCCACTGACACCAATGATGGGGCACAATTCCTTCCACTGACACCAATGATGGGGCACTAGTCCTCCCACTGATACCAATGATGGGGCACTATTCCTCCTATTGATACCAATGATGGGGCACTATTCCTCCCACTGACACCAATGATGGGACACTATTCTATTCCTCCCACTGACACCAATGATGGGGCACTATTCCTCCCCCACTGGGGACACCAATGATGGGGCACTATTCCTCCCACTGATACCAATGATGGGACACTATTCCTTCCACTGATACCAATGATGGGGCACTATTTCTCCCCACTGACACCAAGGATGGGGCACTATTCCTCCCACTAATACAATGATGGGGCACTATTCCTCCCACTGACACCAATGATAGAACACTATTCCTCCCCCTGATACCAATGATGGGGCACTATTCCTTCCTACCAATGATGGGGCACTATTCCTCCCACTAATACAATGGGGCACTATTCCTCCCACTGACACCAACGATGGGACACTATTCCTCCCACTGACACCAATGATGGGGCACTATTCCTCCCACTGACACCAATGATGGGGCACTATTCCTCCCACTGATACCAATGACGGAGCACTATTCCTCCCACTGATACCAATGATGGGACACTATTCCTCCCACTGATACCAATGATGGGGCACTATTTCTCCCACTGACACCAAGGATGGGGCACTATTCCTTCTACTAATACCAATGATGCAGCACTATTCCTTCTACTGATGCAAAGGATGGGGCACAATACCTCCCACTGACACCAATGATGGCACACTATTCCTCCCACTGACACCAGTGATGGGCACTATTCTTCCCACTGACACCAATGATGGAGCACTATTCCTCCCACTGACACCAAGGATGGGACACTATACTTTACCCTTGAGGGTTAGGGACTGATGTGAATGTACAATATATATGTGTAAAGCGCTGCATACATTGACGGCGCTATATAAGTACCTGAAATAAATAACTAATATTCCTCCCACTGACACCCAAGGATGGGGCACTATTCCTCCCACTGACACCAAGGATGGAGCACTATTCCTCCCACTGACACCAAGGATGGAGCACTATTCCTCCCACTGACACCAATGATGGGGCACTATTCCTCCCACTGACACCAATGATGGGGCACTATTCCTCCTACAAACGCCAAGGATGGGGCACTATTCCTCCCACTGACACCAATGATGGGGCACTATACCTCCCACTGACACCAGTGATGGGCACTATTCCTCCCACTGACACCAATGAAGGAGCACTATTCTTTCCATTAATACCAATGATGGGGCACTGTTCCTCCCACTGACACCAAGGATGGGTCACTAGTCCTCCCACTGACACCAATGATGGGGCTCTAATCCTTCTAATACCAATGATGGGGCAATATTCTTCCCAATGACAACAATGATGGTGGACTATTCCTCCCACTGACACCAATGAAGGGGCACTGTTCCTCCCACTGACACCAAGGATGGGGCACTATTCCTCCCACTGACACCAATGATGGGGCACTATTCCTTTCAATCAATGATGGGGCATATGACACCAATGATGGGGCACTATTCCTCCCACTGATACCAATGATGGGGTATTTTCTACTCCCACTGGTCCTGGTCAGGCCTCCCTAACATGCGAAGGATAGTAAACTGACCATTTGTTTAGAAAGTTTGGAGACCCCTGGAATAGACCGCTGTATAGAGAGTTGAGGAGCAGAATAAAAAAAGACAATTAAATAATCTTTAAAGAACAAAAAATGAATTGTACCAGCTTACCAAACCCTCCGATGTGGTGGCTGTATTATTTTTCTTTTTTTTTTTTTACACTCTTTTTCCTTCATTTAAACATGGCAATCCTGCCATCAACACACTTCCTATCATAGATTAACAACCATACTGAGCAGTGTTGTCACCCTAGAAAAATGGAGTATGTTAGGACAGTGGTTCCCAACCTGTTTGAGACCAGAGTCTGGTAAATTCTTCCAAATCCTTCCATGCCCCAATATATTTATACTCATAAAAGTATGAGAATGGGAATGGATGGGGCTGGTGATGTTGTGGTGGAGATGGGGGTTGTCAAGTGTGTTAGGGGACTCTGGAGAAGGCTGGGAAGTATTGTAGGAGGTTGGGGGGGACACTGTGACAAACTGTTACAGTTTGGGGGCCCTATGGAGGTCGGAGACTGTGCTGCAGGATGGGGGGCACTGTTGGGTTAAGGACTCCTAGGGGGAAACTACGGGAGGTTGGGGTGCACTGTGGGGGCTGAGGGCTGTCAGAGTTGCTAGGGGCACTGTGGGACACTCTTGGACGTTGAGGGGCACTCTGGGGGCTGAGGGCTGTCAGAGGTGCTAGGGGCACTGTGGGACACTCTTGGATGTTGGGGGCACTGTGGGGGCTGAGGGCTGTCAGAGGTGCTAGGGGCACTGTGGGACACTCGTGGAGGTTGGGGGGCACTATGGGGGGTGAGGGCTGTCAGAGTTGCTAGGGGCACTGTGGAACACTCTGGGAGGTTGGGGGGGCACTGTGGGGGCTGGGGGTTTTAGGGAGCCCAGGGACATTGTGGAAGGTTGAGGGGAACTGTGGGCAATAATGGGAGGTTGGGGGCACTGTGGGGGGTGAGGGCTGTCAGAGGTGCTAGGGGCACTGTGGGACACTCTTGGAGGTTTGGGGGCACTGTGGGGGCTGAGGGCTGTCAGAGTTGCTAGGGGCACTGTGGGGGCTAGGGGTTTTAGGGAGCCCGGGGACATTGTGGAAGGTTGAGGGGAACTGTGGGCAATAATGGGAGGTTGGGGGCACCGTGGGAGCTGGGAGGCACCATGGGGGGCTAAAATGATCTGCAGCTGGCTGGAGACCTGGAGGAGGGGAGGCCATGTCTCGGTGGTTGAGGACCACTGTATTGAGGCTACATAAGGCCCCATTCACATTGGCACCGTTAAACAATTTATAATCATTTCGAGGAGATTTCTAAATGATTTTTCAATGGTGTCATTCACGCTGTGCGATCACCTGCGATTATCTGCGGTCAGTTTAGCTGTTTTTACAGAAAATAGAATTGTGTGTTCATGATCCGATTAAACACTCCAAACACCTTTACTGTAAATACCTGATTTTTCAGGGCCTCATTGTCACTGTTGACGCGTTGTATCATGCGGTGTAAATCCGCCAGCTCGTTCTTCAGCGCCTTCAGCTCATCATTGGTGCGTTTAGATTGATTCATCATGTCATCAATCTGAAAAACCAAAACCAAAAATATTATATACCAAATAACACTGGACCTTCCTTTTTTAAAGGATCAGCAGAGCTGGGGGTTACAACTATCAGGGGATCAGCAGAGCTGGAGGTTACTACTGAGCAGGGGATCAGCAGAGCTGGAGGTTACTACTGAGCAGGGGATCAGCAGAGCTGGGAGTCACTACTGAGTGGGAGTTCAGACATAGGTGGGGGTTATTACTGAGTAGAGAATCAGCAAAGCTGAGGGTTACTACTGAGCGGGGAATCATCAGAGCTGAGGGTTACTACTGAGCAAGGATCAGCAGAGCTGGGGATTACTACTGAGCGGTGGATCAGCTGAGCTGAAGGGTCACTACTGAGTGGGGGATCAGCAGAGCTGGGGGTTACTACTGAGCAGGGGAACAGCAGAGCTGGGGGTTACTACTGAGCGGTGGATCAGCTGAGCTGAAGGGTCACTACTGAGTGGGGGATCAGCAGAGCTGGGGGTTACTACTGAGCAGGGGAACAGCAGAGCTTTAGGTTTCTACTAAGAGGGGGATCAGCCAGAGCTGGGGGTCACTACTGAGCAGCGGATCAGCAGAGCTGGGGGTTACTACTGAGAGGGGGATCAGTCAGAGCTGGGGGTTACTAATAAGTGGGGGATCAGCAGAGCTGGGGTTACTACTGAGCGGGGGGATCAGCAGAGCTGGGGGTTACTACTGAGCGGGGGGATCAGCAGAGCTGGGGGTTACTACTGAGCGGTGGATCAGCAGAGGTGGGGGTTACTACTGAGCGGGGGATCAGCAGAGATGGAGGTTACTACTGAGTGGGGGATCGTCAGAGCTGGGGGTTACGACTGAGCGGTGGATCAGCAGAGGTGGGGGTTACTACTGAGCGGGGGATCAGCAGAGATGGAGGTAACTACTGAGTGGGGGATCGTCAGAGCTGGGGGTTACTACTGAATGGGTGGATCAGTAGAGCTGGAGGTTACTACTGAGCGGGGGATCATCAGAGCTGGGGGTTACTACTGAGTGGGGGGATCAGTAGAGATGGGGGTACTACTGAGCAGGGGATCTGCTGAACAAGAGTACCAATGAGCTGTGGATCTGCTGAGTGAGGGTACTATAGAGCTGGGGTTAAACTGGGCCCCTTTAAAACAAATAGAAATCAACACACAGAGCATTTACCAAACTTCATTAAGGCTTCAAAAAATAATCACCAAAGCATCACCAAAGCATGCTGAAGCGGTAGGCTCTTTAATGTGCGTTAAATTTGAAGCAAGTGTAAATGAGCCCTTAGAGTAGCGAAAAATAGCCCCCTCTTGTCTCTGGATCTAGCCCTCTCCTCGCCTCTTTAGTTGCCATTTCTTCTATTGCCGCTCGCTGTAAATGTTGAATAATTGAGCATTTCTGGAGCGGGAATCAGCGAGGGGGTGGCAGTACCTTGCTCTTGTACCAGTGCTCGGCCTCCTGGCGGCTCTTCTCCGCCATGGTCTGGTACTGGGCCCGGACATCATCCATGATGTGCTTCATCTCCAGGTCTCGGTTGTTGTCCAGCTCCACGGTCACCTTGTCATTGTGCACCTGGGACTGGAGCTCGTTTATTTCCTAAAAACAAAGAGAACAGCGAGCCAATTGGTGGCCTTGTATTGTGTGTCTGTATATTATTTATTTATTTTAGGTACTTATATATCGCCATCAATTTACACAGCACTTGACATATATATTGTACATTCACATCAGTCCCTGACCCTCAAGGGGTGTACAATCTAAGGTCCCTAACTCACATTCATACATACACATACTAGGGACAATTTAGACAGGAGCCAATTCACCTACCAGCATGTCTTTGGAGTGTGGGAGGAAACCGGAGTACCCAGAGGAAACCCACGCAGGCACAGGGAGAACATGCATGTCCTCTATACATATAAAATGGTATTTTGGATCAGTCATGTGGGCAGGAAATATTGCATACGATTTGTTCATGTTCCGAGGAGCTCCTACAGAACTAGAACCTCTGTTAGGTTTTTATTGTCCCTCTCGGTCCCTAATGAGAACTCTTTTAGTTGGTTAAATTCTTGCATTGTGTTAAGCCAGTCTTGTGATCTAGGCACCCCTGCCAGACAGCAACGGAACCTCCACTGCAGTAAAAGCCCAACTCCAGACTTATTTCTTTTGCTCCCAGTGCCGCTTCCCCCAACATTATTTTTTTTTATTTGTGTTTTCATACTTAGCTTTCCAGATGTCTCCAGGCAGAAGACAGCTCTCAGTGATGCAGAGAACCCTGTGCACCATTGTATGTATCTAGATGCTCTCCCAAGGGTCGGTCAGAGTTGTTCTGCACTCACAGTAAGCCCTCAGTCCTCCAGGTCATCTGGTTGGGAAGACTGAGGACATCTAGTGGATAATAGCAATTAATGCAAGTTGACAACCCCAGAGAGGGGTTGAGTATTGCAGGCAGAGCACCTGCTGGTTTTTTTTTTTTAATGCTTGGGCTTTAAGCAGCTCCGCACCGCCCTATAGCAAAAATACACAAATATAGCATGGGTACGCAAAATCACGTATATATATACCTGATTTTGCCATTCCGCGCCCCCTCCCCGCGTCGCCATTCACAGCCTTGGCTGTCAATAACGGGGTCCCGGCCGGTGATTCCCAACCAGCACGCGGCCATCTCCGAGTAGTATTACCGACGGAGGAGAGACCTGTATGTAAACAATACAGATCTCTCCCCTGTCAACTCCTGCACACTGCTTTGTATGACTCTGCATAGCACAGCCATACAAAGCAGTGTGCTCACAGTTTGAAGCACAGCACATAGTGAAACAGCACACAGTTAACCCTTTGATCGCCCCTCATGTTAACCCCTTCCTGCCCAGTGTCATTAGTACAGTGTCAGTGCTTTTTATTAGCACTGATCACTGTATTGGTGTCACTGCGGATGTCAGTGACACCAAGTCAGTTCCCCCCCCCAGTGTCAGAATGTCCGCCACAGTGCCGCTATAAGTCGCTAATCGCATTACTAGTAGAAAAAAAAAGTCCAGAATCTATACCGCCATTTGTAAACGCTATAACTTTCACGTAAACCAATTAATTTACACGTATTGGGATTTTTTTTTTTAGCAAAGACACGGAGCAGAATACATTTTGGCCTAAATTTATGACGAAATTAGATTTTTAAAATTTTTTTACTGGACATATTTAATAGCAAAAAAGTTAAAAATATTGGGTCTTATTTCAAAATTGCTGGTCTTTTTTTTATAGCACAAAAAACTAAAAATGCACAGGTGATCAAATACCACCGAAAGAAAGCTCCATTTGTGGGAAAAAAGGATGTAAATTTCATTTGGATGCAGTGTTGCATGACCGCGCAATTGCCCAACTGTCTGCAGAGTCAATAGCTGAAAACCTCCAAACTTGGTGTGGCCTTCAGATGAGCCCAACAACAGTGCGTAGAGAGCTTCATGGAATGGGTTTCCATGGCCGAGCAGCTGCATCCAAGCCTTACATCACCAAGTGCAATGCAAAGCGTCAGATGCCGTGGTGTAAAGCACGCCGCCACTGGACTCTAGAGCAGGGGAGACGTGTTTCTCTGGAGTGACTAATCACACTTCTCTGGCAATCCGATGGACGTGTCTGGGTTTGGTGGTTGCCAGGAGAACGGTACTTGCCTGACTGCATTGTGCCAAGTGTAAAGTTTGGTGGAGGGGGGATTATGGTGTGGGGTTGTTTTTCAGGGGTTGGGCTTGGCCCCCTAGTTCCAGTGAAGGGAACACTTAAGGCGTCAGCATACCAAGACATTTTGGACAATTTCATGCTCCCAACTTTTTGGGAAGAGTTTGGGGATGGCCCCTTCCTGTTCCAACATGACTGCACACCAGTGCACAAAGCAAGGTCCATAAAGACATGGAGGAGCCAGTTTGGGGTGGAGGAACTTGACTGTCCTGCACAGAGGCCTGACCTCAACCCCATAGAACACCTTTGGGATGAATTAGAGCGGAGACTGTGAGCCAGGCCTCCTCCCCCGACATCAGTGCCTGACCTGACAAATGTGCTTCTGGAAGAATGGTCCAACCTTCCCATAGACACCCTCCTAAACCTTGTGGACGGCCTTCTGAGAAGAGTTGAAGCTGTTATAGCTGCAAAGGGCGGGGCCAACTCAATTCTGAACCCTACGGACTAAGACTGGGGGGCCATTACAGGTCATGTGCGTGGAAAGGCCGGCGGCCCAATACTTTTGACAATTGAAATCGTTTTTTATCCATAAGTAAAATGGAAAATGTTCTGCATGTGGCCGAGAGCCACCAATCAGAAAAGAGATTCCATTACCTCCTTATAGACCTGCTTTAGATATTCAATTTCATCCGTCAGACTGTCCAGCTTAGACTCATTGTCCACCTTGTTCAGGTAAGTGTCATCGAGATCCTGCCAGACACAGACAAAGAATTCACTTTTACATGATATTACGGAGTATATAGAACCATTCATGTTAGTCCCAGTGACCAAAGGAGCTGACAGTCTAAAGCAGCAATGTTCAAACTACGATCCAATGCAACATTTTATCCAGCCCTCTGATGTAAGGGGGGACTCTGGTGGGGACTCTGATGCAAGGGGGACTGTAATGGGAACTCTGAAGTAAGGGGGAATTCTGATGGGGACCCTGATGTAAGAGGGACTGATAAGGACTCTCATGTAAGGGAGAACTCTGATTTAAGAGGAACTTTCATGGGAACTATGATGTGAGGGTGCTCTGATAGGGAGTCTGATGTAAGGGGGACTCTGATGGCAACTCTGATATAAAGGGGCTCTGGCAGGGACTCTGATGCAAGGGGGTCATTGATGGGGACCCTGATGTAAGGGGGAACTTTGATGTAAGGGGAACTCTAATGAGGACCTTGATGTAAGGGAGGACTCTGATGTAAGGGGAACTCTGATGGGGACCCTGATGTAAGGGGGGGCTCTAATAGGGACTCTGATATAAGGGGGGACTCTGATGGGGACGATGATGTAAACGGGACTCTGACTGTGACCTTGATGTAAGGGGGGCTCTGACAGGGACTCTGATGTGAGGACATTGATGGAGATGCTGAAGTAAGGGGGAACTCTGATGGGGACCCTAATTTAGGGGGGTTCTCATGAGGTCCATGATGTAAGGGGGGACTCTGATGAGGACCCTGATGTAAGGGGGACTCTGACAGGAACCCTATAGTAAGGGGAGACTCAGATAGGACCATTCTGTAAGGGGGCTCTCTGAGCAGGCCCTGATGTAAGGGAGGATTCTCATGAGTCCATGATGTAAGGGGGGATGCTGATGGGGACCCTGATGTAAGGGTGATTCTCATAAGGTCCATGATGTAAGGGGGGACTCTGATGGGGACCCTGATGTAAGGGGTAACTCTCATAAGGTCCATGATGTAAGGGGGAATTCTGACGGGGACCCTGATGTAAGGGGGATTCTCATAAGGTCAATGATGTAAGGGGGGACTCTGATGGGGACCCTCATGTAAGGGGAGACTCAGATAGGACCCTACTGTAAGGGGGAACTCTGATGGGGCCTTGATGTAAGGGGGGATTCTCATGAGTCCATGATGTAAGGGGGGGATGCTGATGGGGACCCTGATGTAAGGGGGATTCTCATAAGGTCCATGATATAAGGGGGGACTCTGATGGGGACCCTGATGTATGGGTGATTCTCATAAGGTCCATGATGTAAGGGGGGACTCTGATGGGGACCCTGATGTAAGGGGGATTCTCATAAGGTCCATGATATAAGGGGGGCTCTGATGGGGACCCTGATGTGTGGGGGAACTAATGGGGGGACTCTGGGGCCTTGATGTAAGGGGGGATTCTCATGAGTCCATGATGTAAGGGGGAGATGCTGATGGGGACCCTGATGTAAGGGGTGATTCTCATAAGGTCCATGATGTAAGGGGGGACTCTGATGGGGACCCTGATGTAAGGGGGATTCTCATAAGGTCCATGATATAAGGGGGGCTCTGATGGGGACCCTGATGTGGGGGGAACTCTGATGGGCTCACGTTTATTTGTAATTCTTTTTCTTTGGTTTACTGAAGTTTTTTCTCTGTCACTTTAGTCACATCATCCTCATTAAGGAAAAGCTCTCAGTAATAAATCAATTTTAAAACACATTTTTTTGGTCTGCGAATATTTGTAAAATGCACAAAGTGGCCCCCGTATTGAAAAGTGTGGGGCCCCTGATGAAAAAGGCCAACTGTGCAGAAGCTGGTCATCCTAGTCACATGTTATGGAAGGTGTGAGAAATCTCAGAGATCTCTATAGACAGAGCCCTGGAGGGAACTGAACCAAGGAGCTCAGCGCTGCCAGGCAGCAATGCTGAGAGTGAAGCCTGGTGTCATGCAGGAGAATACCAACCTTCTTGGTCAATACAAAATCGTTTTCTAATTGGTTCCTTCTGTTAATCTCATCTTCATATCTGCAAAACAGGAGCGGCAGTTATCTGAGGATCACAGTTAGTGTCCTGTCCCGGGGGGGTCACCGAGGACAACAGCTAAAGATACAAAATACACAAACGCATGCAACCGTGTCATCATGAATACATCAAGAAACATATGTCCAGGGGCGGACCGACCATTTGGAAACTCAGACACTGCCCGAGGGACCCGGGGTCAGTAGGGGGCCCCATGAGATGCCCCTGGTACCTTTTTCATAGGCTTTTTTGAGTTTGGGCAAGAACCCCTATTGCCTGGGGGCCACATGAGTTGTCAGTCTGCCCCTGCATATGTCACATACAAGCCATGGAAGTACCTGAATGTAACCTGGTATCAGCCTCCTTGTACAGCAGGGCTGCAGCGTGGGAGGAAGAAGCAGTATAAGGAGCCAATCAGCTGGAAAACTGATAGTAGGAGAGAGCAGAGTGACAGAGAAATGAGCTTCTCACTTGCTGCTTCTCCATTCACTGTCCAGTCACGGGCTGGGGCTGAGTTCAGGATGACCTGGGCTCAGAGGTGCTGGTCATCAGACACAGGATATCTAGTGCTAGAAAAAGAGTACTGCAGGGAAAACCTCTGGACGGAAGGTAAATATTTCAGCCAAAGCTGGTTTTATTTGATCTTTTAGCCCCGGTTCACACTGATGCGGTGAGGAATTCGCAGCGGAATTCTCAGTTTTCAGTGTGAATTCCGCACCGCATCACAATTGCACCCACTGGGGGGGGGGGGGGGGTGGCTAATTGGGCCCAATTTGGACCTTGTCACTTAGGGGTGGACTCACTTTTGTTGCCAGCGGTTTAGACATTACTGGCTGTGTGTTGAGTTATTTTGAGGGGACAGCAAATTTACATGTTATACAAGCTGTACACTGACTACGCCACATTGTAGCAAAGTGTCATTTCTTCAGTGTTGTCACATGAAAAGATATAATATTTACAAACATGTGAGGGGGGGACTCACTTCTGGGAGATACTGTGTATGTATGTATATGTATATATATATATATATATATATATATATACATACATTGTATACAGTCCGGGGGGAGGGGTGGACTCACTTCTGGGAGATACTGTATGTACTATTGGAATGTTGAAATATACTGGAAATCTTTTACTAATATTAAAGTGTATAGCCAAAACTTTTTCTTTTTTGTTTTTACATAGGGAAGGGTCAAAACCCATCAATTGTTTTTGTTTTTTTTTTTTGCTTTTTTTTTGTCTGTGAGATGTTCGTTTCACTTCATGCATCTAGGATTCATTCTGCTCTCAACTTTGCAGCCACCCATTGAAAGATCAGTTCCCCAGCATTCCTTTAGATGAGCATGTTCCTTCTTGCTGGCCACTGGGTGGTGCAGATTTTGTCCCCTTTCACATGGGCGTTCCCTTTGTCCATTTTTCATCTGTCCAAAAACGGACACCCATGTATTTCTATGGATTTGCAGATGTAAACAGATGATCAACTGTTTACATCCGTTAATGTCCGTATCTGTTAACATCCCTTTTTTTTGAACGGAGGAAAACCCTATTTTTCTTTAACCACTAGGAGACCGCCCGCAGTACATATACTGCTACAAGGTGGACTCTGTGTGCAGGATCACGTATTAAATGCGATCCTGCATTTCCGGGTAGGGAGCACGCGAGACGCGCGACCGCCCTACCTGTGGCATCGATCAAGGCCACAGGTCCCGGCTGGTGATTACCCAGCGGAGCCCGGCGATTGCTGGCAAACACTGACGGGGAGGAAGGCTGCATTGTTTTCAATACAGCTCTTCTCCCTGTCAATTCCCAGCACACTGTCCCAGATCGCTGATCACAGCCTTCCGGAACAGTGAAGTACACACCCCCTCTCCCTAGTGAAACACTCCCCTCACACAGTTAACCCTTTCATTGCCTCCCAATGTTAACCCCTTCCTCCCCAGTGCCATTAGTACAGTGTCAGTGTTTTTTTTTTTTGCACTGATCACTGCATTGGTGTCACTGGGGATATCAGTGACCTCAAGTCAGTTCCCCCCCCCAGTGTCAGAATGTACGCCGCAGTCCTGCAGTCCCTCCATAAGTCACTGATCGCCGCCATAGGTCACTGATCGCCGCCATAGGTCACTGATCGCTGCTATTATTAGTATAAAAAAAAAATCCAGTATCTTTCCCGCCATTTGTAAACGCTATAACTTTCACGTAAACCAATTAATTTACACGTATTGGGGGATTTTTTAGCAAAGACATGTCGCAGAATACATTTTGGCTGAAATTTATGAAGAAATTTGATTTTTTAAATTTTTTTACTGGACATGTTTTATAGCAAAAAGTCCAAAATATTGTTTTTTTTTCCTCAAAATTGTCGGCTTTTTTTTTTTTTTTTACGCTATAAAAAAAATTGTCGTTTTTTTTTATAGCGTAAAAAATTAAAAAACACACAGGCGAACAAATACCCCTGAAATAAAGCCCAATTCGTGGGGGGAAAAAAAGGACATAAATTTCATTTGGGTGCAGTGTTGCATGACCGCGCAATTGTCAGTTAAAGTGACGCAGTGCCGTAACACAAACAGCTTCTGTAAAAAAACGGATGTAAATGGACAAAAACATGTAAACGGACAAAACCCAGATTTAAATGGGACATGTAAATGGATGCAAATGAATGTAAACAGACAAAACACAGATGAAAAACGGATGAAAAAATAGATAACAACAGATGTAAACTGATCTGTTTTTTCTTGGAAAAACCATGACTAAACTGATGAAAAAAATATAGAAAGACTAGCACAGCAGTTACCGGCTCTTCAGCTCCTCCACCACAGCCTGCATGTTCTGCAGCTCGGCCTGTAGCTTGTCCTTCTCATGCAGCAATGCGTCTATCTGCTGCTTCAGGTGGTTGCTCGACGCCGACGTCATCTGGTCAATGTTGGACTTGTAGCTGTCTTTGTCCTTCAGCAGCTTCAGCTGAGTCTTCAGGATCTTGTTCTGCCTCTCCAGCTCCCGTACCTAGAAGTAGGCAGATATCAGTTACTAGAATCCCGACGGCTGCAGGACTATTGAAGACTAAGGGGCAGGGGTGGACTGACAACTCATGGGGCCCCCGGGCAATAGGGGATCATGGGGCCCCTGTGTCCTTGCCCAAACTCAAAAAAGCCTATGAAAAAGGTACCAGGGGCTTCTCATGGGGCCCCCTACTGACCCCGGGCCCTCGGGCAGTGCCCGAGTTTCCAAATGGTCAGTCTGCCCCTGCTAGGGGGGCAACTAAAGTCAGAGCAGACCATGCATCTGCTATGGGGCCCAGAGGCACAGCACATTGTGCAGGTGGCAATCGCATTACGCAAATACATAGTTACATAGTTAGTCTGGCTGAAAAAAGACAAAAGTCCATCCAGTTCAACCATAAAAAAAAAAGTTATAATCCTACACCCACAGTTGATCCAGAGGAAGGCAAAAACTCAGCAAAGCACGATCCAATTTGCTCCTGCTGGGGAAAAAATAATCCTTCTTGATCCCCCGAAAGGCAATCGGATATTCCCTGGATCAACTTTCCCTATAAATGTTATATCCAGTTATATTCTGTGTATCCAAGAAAGAATCCAGGACTTTCCTACAGCAATCCACTGAGCTGGCCACAACCAACTCTTGAGGGAGTCTATTCCACATTTTCACAGCTCTTACTGTGAAGAAACCTTTCCATGTTTGGAGATTAAATCTCTTTTCCTCCAGACGTAAAGATCGCCCCCTTGTCCTCTGTGATGACCTCAGGGTGAATAGCACAAAAATTACATTTAAAGTAAAAGAACCAAATTACAACCCGGATCTGGTGTGTGGCTCAGGCACAAGTGTTAGAAGACAAGGAAGCAATGGATATATAAAGTGTATCTATGACAAATTATACTGAGACTCCTTTCACACCTATGCATTTTTTAGTGCCTTTTTCTTTTTTGCAGAAACGCATTACAGTCCATTTACCATGGTTTCCTATGGAACACGTTCACATCGATGCTTTTTTGAGCTGCTGCATTTTTGGAAAGGGTCAGGAACTTTTTTAAAAGCAAAAAGCAGCATTTTTGGTACTATAACCCGTATGGAAGAAAAATATATTTGAAATATATTTTAAAAATATTCTTCCCAAATATGTTGACATATATTTGAAATGCTACAATTTTGGCCATAATTCAATATATTTAAAAATATATTTCAATAAATATATAATATATATATACATACAAAAATGTAGATTTGTATTTTTAAAGACATACAGTATATTTGAAATTTATTTTTAAAAATATTTTTCATTTACTTTGTAATAAAAACTCATTTCAACACGCAGTGTATATATATATAGATATATATATCTATATATATAGATATATATATATCAGGGGTGGACTGACAACTCATGGGGCCCCGGGCGATAGGGGATTATGGGGCCCCCGTGTCCTCGCCCACACCCAAAAAAGCCCATGAAAAGGCCAATGAAAGATACCAGGGGCATCTCATGGGGCCTCCTACTGACCCTGGGCAGTGCCCGAGTGGCTAAATGGTCAGTCCGCCCCTGATATATATATACTGCATGCTGGACAGCACTCAATTGCATCGCAAGTCCTCACTGCAATGTAAAATGTATCCACTAGATGGCACTGAGAATCTTTTTTTTATAATTATGGTTATGCAGGATTCTGAATATTCGGTTTATTTATTGGAAAAAAAGAAGAGACCACTCAAGATATTAAAAATAAAATACATAGTTACATAGTTAGTCTGGCTGAAAAAAGAGACAAAAGTCCATCCAGTTCAACCATTAAAAAAAAAAAAAATGTATAATCCTATACCAGAGGAAGGCAAAAAAATACAATTTGCTTCCTTCCCAAGTCTATTCTGACACTTCTCACATAAATGTAAAAATCAGCTTTTTGGCTAGAAAATTACTTAGAACCCACAAAAATAATATACACTATATTGCCAATAGATTGTAAGCTCCAAGGATCAGGCCCCTCCTAACCCTCTTGTATTGAACTGTATTGTTGCTGTATTGTCTCCCGTTATATTGCAAAGCGCTGAGCAAACTGTTGGCGCCATAAATCCTGTATAATAATAATAATATATAAATCCTGTATATAATAATATATATATAAATCCTGTATAATAATAATAATAGTATTGGTCAGCTGGCCTTTCCACGCACATGACCTTTAATGGCCCCCCAGTCTTAGTCTGTAGGGTTCAATATTGAGTTGGTCCCCGCCCTTTACACACACATGACCTTTAATGGCCCCCCACTCTTAGTCCGTAGGGTTCAATATTGAGTTGGCCCCGCCCTTTGCAGCTATAACAGCTTCAACTCTTCTGGGAAGGCCGTCCACAAGGTTTAGGAGGGTGTCTATGGGAAGGTTGGACCATTCTTCCAGAAGCACATTTGTCAGGTCAGGCACTGATGTCGGGGGAGGAGGCCTGGCTCACAGTCTCCGCTCTAATTCATCCCAAAGGTGTTCTATGGGGTTGAGGTCAGGACTCTGTGCAGGACAGTCAAGTTCCTCCTCCCCAAACTGGCTCCTCCATGTCTTTATGGACCTTGCTTTTTGCACTGGTGTACAGTCATGTTGGACCAGGAAGGGGCCATCCCCAAACTCTTCCCAAAAAGTTGGGAGCATAAAATTGTCCAGAATGTTTTGGTATGCTGACGCCTTAAGAGTTCCCTTCACTGGAACTAGGGGGCCAAGCTCAACCCCTGAAAAACAACCCCACACCAGAGTCCCCCCTCCACCAATATTTACTCTTGGCACAATGCAGTCAGACAAGTACCGTTCTCCTAGCAACTGCCAATTCCAGACACGTCCATCGGATTGCCAGACAGAAGCATGATTGGTCCCTCCAGAGAACACGTCTCCACTGCTCTAGAGTCCAGTGGCGGCGTGCTTTATACCACGGCATCTGACGCTTTGCATTGCACTTGGTGATGGAAGACTTGGATGCAGCTGCTCGGCCATGGAAACCCATTCCATGAAGCTCTCTACGCACTGTTGTTGGGCTCATCTGAAGGCCACACCAAGTTTGGAGGTCTTCAGCTATTGACTCTGCAGACAGTTGGTGACTTCTGCGCACTGTGCGCTTCAGCATGCGCTGACCCCGCTCTGTCATGTGACGTGACCTACCACTTGGTGGCTGAGTTGCTGTTGTTCCCAGTTGCTTCCACTTTGTTATAATCCCACTAACAGTTGAGCGTGGAATATTTAGTAGCCAGGAAATGTCACGGATGGACTTATTGCACAGGTGCCACCTATCACGGGACCACGCTTGGAGTCACTGAGCTCCTGAGAGCGACCCATTCTTTCACCAATGTTTGTAGAAGCAGTCTGCATGCCTAGGGGCTTGATTGTATACACCTGTGTCCATGGAGGGGATTGGAACACCTGAATCACATGATTTGGAGGGCGGGGCCAATACTTTTGGCAATATAGTGTATGTTTTTAAACAGAGCCATTGGAGAATAAAAAATGGTGGGCGTTGCAATTTTTTATGTCACGCGGTCTTTGCGTAGCGGTTTTTCAAACACAATTTTTTGAGCAAAAATACATTTTAATACCTTTTTATTGCACAAAAAACACAATATGACATCCAATTGTTTGGTAAAATATAAAAGGTGATGTTATGCCAAGTAAATAGATACCTAACATGTCATGTTTTATAACTGGCAACGCTTTAAAATCCTTTCTAGGTTACCAGTTTAGAGTTACATGGGGGTCTGGTGCTAGAAATATTGCTCTCGCTATAACGTTTGCAGCGACACCTCACATGTGTGGTGTGAACACCATACACATATGCGTGCACGACCTACGTATGCATTCGCCTTTTTATAAAATCAACTTTATTTTTATCACAAGGAATGAACAACATCCCTTGCAATAGCATGAGCAGTGATAGGTCCCCTTTACTGAGACATCTGGGGTCTGTTAGAACCCTCATCTCTCTGCCTTCAAAATCATTTGGTGCTTTCACAGGCTGGAAATGGCCAGTTTACATGGGACTGAAACAGGAATTGACAAAATATTCATCACTTCCCGTTTCTTAGACCATAGAGATGATCGGGGATGTTCTGCTCCTTGGTCATATCTATGGTCAACCAGCAGAACCACCAGCTTCAGTCCCGGGCTTCCCAATGGGATAGGAGAGCCCTGGAAGGTGGCAGAAGGCTACGGGGGAGACCCCCTTCCCCCGCTTGTAAAAGCAATCCAGCAACTAATTAGCCACTAGGATCACTTTTACATTACAGTCCGCTGCCTACATGATTCCGGGAGGATGCATGGAGCTGCAGCCATGGCCCCAGTATACCCAGAGGACATAGAAGGACATCCTTTTGGGCGAAGTGGTTTAAAAAAAAAAGCAGCTCTAAAAGTTATACTCACCCGATTGCCGGAGCTGTTACCCTGCAGACTCTCCAGTCCGATGCTGCTTGTCTTCTGGTTTGGATGGCGCCCAGCAGCACTCACTTCCTGTGAGCCCAGAGTGTCACGGCTCCACCCCCAACCCAGACTCATAGGAGAATGCTGCAGAGAGCAACACCGAATTATCACATGGCAATGTCATTCAACATCAGCTCACTATTTAGAGTGGGCTCTCCAAACTTTCTAAATGAAGTGCTCCATCATTGGTGTCAGTGGGAGGAATATTGCCCCATCATTGGTTTCAGTGGGGAGAAATAGTGCCATATCATTGGTGTCAGTGGGAGGAATAGTGCCCCATCATTGGTGTCAGTGGGAGGAATAGTGCCCCATCATTGGTATCAGTGGAGGAATAGTGCCCCATCATTGGTGTCAGTGGGAGCAATAGTGCCCCGTCATTGGTATCAGTGGGAGGAATAATGCCCCATCATTGGTATCAGTGGGAGGAATAATGCCCCATCATTGGTGTCAGTGGGAGGAATAGTGCCCCATTGTTGGTATCAGTGAATGAAATAGTGTCCCCCAAGGGTCCGGATACAAGCAAGCAAAGGGCCACATCTGGCC